AAAAATCACAAAAATTTGTCTGTCTGTTTGTTGTTTATCTAACTACTCCTAGGTTGCTGGGCCAATCTCAACTACACTTTGTAGGATGATAGTTTGGAACAGGGAGCATGTTAATGTGAGATTAATAGCTGCTGCTTTCATTCCTCCATAGAGAGTGTTATCACACACTCTGAGATATACAAGACAATGAAAAAAAAGGTCCCCACTCTTGCAGTAATACATAAACTGAGCTGAAGTTTTTACTCCAACAGCCACCATAAGGCTGTTATCAAGAGCTGTTTCTTAATTTATAACCACTTCCTACTTTGAACCATGAAATTTCAACTTTGGCCTATAAGACACTTCTGCAGCTAATGATCATCTATTAATTAGTAATGTGAAACACTATGGAAAGACATTAAGAGGTGGGTGTGTATTACATTCTTAAGTACCCAGCAATTATTCATTAATAATACCCTTTTCCCCCAGACTTCTTCACACCTAATCTTTATCTAGTCTCCTACAATGACTACCTGCTGATATACTTTAAAATTGTTTATCTTTTACAGCACTTTCCCTGATCATTCTGTTATAGTAGCATACAAGTCTTTCTGTACAATGCAAGTTTTCAATAATAATTTCAGTAACAGCAGTAATAAAAAGTTTGATGATATAACCCCACATCAATAATTTATAGCAACACTGAGATTTCTCCACTTTCCCTGAATCACTAAAAATTATCATGCTTTATTGTACAGTCTCATACTTGTTCCCTCCCAATCTTTTTCTGCTCAGTACATTCTTATACTACATACTTCCCACACAGTTTTAATTTGTTATCTTGGGTTAATTAAGTTACTGCAATTTTTTTCCATCATGAAAAAAAATCAACCACTACCAAAAGAAATAATCTTTACAGAATAATTAATGCATAAAATCCACATTGTGTTTTATAATTCCTTATAACTGTTTTCCAGTTACTGTTGGTATTTTTAAAATCAATCCAAATTTGTACATTGTTGAACTTCAAATTATGTTGTTTCTGGTTCTTCTTTGTATTTATGAGGTCTGTCCTTTAAAGTGACTTATAAGGTAAACATTAGATTGCATTTATGTATATTTACTAGTGTTTAATCTTAGCTTTCTTCTTAATCTCTGTCACATTTTAAATGTTAATAATATGTTTATGATGTTTTACATTGAAGTGTTGAACATTACATGCTATAATAACCTAGAACAATTCTTCTGCCCACATACATGGATTCATGAAAGAAACTCTGGACTATAGTAAGTTTTTATTTTCATTTGTAAAGAAAACAGTCATTCTAATTCCATATTAATTTCTAATTGAAATCATTAACATTTACGGTTTACCGGTAACTGCATTCATAAATAAACCTTTAGTGGAATCTGTTTTATTTGAAAACAAAGCTATTGATAAAATTTCTGCATGGTGTACATTATTTTCAAAGTTGGCAGGTTAAATAAAGTTTGAATCTGATGAAATAATACACAATTCTTTCATATCATTCACAGGAAAAATGCATTTTTATAACTATTTCAAGAAAGTCACTAATGGTGTAAAAAAACTATATTAACTCTAAAAGCAAAGCAATATCTTTGAAAATAACTATACATGGTTCATTGGTAATAACTAATCTATCGTAAAAGGCTTTCTAACATGTTTCTCTGAAAACTTTGGCAATATCATATCATTTAGACATAATACTTGTTGCAAGAAACCACGATGTATAAAGAGTGTTCAAGTGGTCTGGAAACAGTTTTTAAAGAGTGTGTTTATTAATTAGGATTTTAAAGAACTATTTCTTGTTACCCAGATATCAATGACTCTCTCCCTTCTTTCCTGCTACCTGCAAAATAAAGATTAGAATGACAGTAAACTGGAATTATATGTTAAAAACAAAAAAATCTGTAACATAAATTAAAACTCTGCTAGAAGTTTTTTTATTTTGTTTACTTCCACACTGTTTTTATTTCAGACACAAGCTTTTGATTAGAATCTTTAGGTACTTATGTTACACATTAAAGTACAACCAACCAATACCCAAATGTTTAAATTTAAAAGTAACTGATATAAAATCAATCATCTATTAATGAATAAAGATCATTAGAAGACTGAAGACAGGCTGTTGAGACATTTAGATGCTTCACATATACAAAGATCACTAGAAGACAAGCTGTTGGGACATTTAGATGTTTCAATATATGGAGATCAGATGTAGAGAATTTGATAAAAATGTCCCAAAGAATTTTTTTTTGGATAGGATATGAAATCACTTTCAAGTCAATGGACAGTTGCCCAGACACCATAAGATGGCAAACCACAAGCATGTAATTGTTACCTTTCAGTTCTGACTCACTCAAATCATAGGGTGAAGGTTTCGAGATATACACAGCGAGAACTGGAAGCCACATCAATGCAAATGGTCAGAATTCATAAGGTGAATGACAAATGGCTAATGAAGTACATTCCACTCACAGCAAGAACATATCCAGTGAACTAATGACATGCCAGATTGCTAACCAGAATCCAACCCTGTTTTCATAAAAAGCATAACACAAGTTGTGAGTAGGAATAACTCTACATCTTGCAGAATGGTACCATTAATGCCATATCATTATACAGACTACACCATACAACCATTTGTGCTGCCATATACTGGTGCAGTTGGCTTAATGTAAGTTTAATGGTTGGTTCTTTGGAAAAGGGAAGATTCCTCATATGGAGTGGACTGCAAGATCACTAGTCTGAGCATTTGTTGGATGTCACATCCAAGAAAGTAACTCCAGACACAACAGAAGACAGGAAAGCTAAGGGTTCTTCAGGACCTTATCGAGACAATGATTTTAAGCATGTAACAATTGTGCTTTGGCTGTTGTGGTCTATATTGAAATTAAATGTTAAGAGCTATTAAGAAGTAAAGCCACCTCCACCAAAAAGTTCACTTAAGAGTATAGACTGATTAACCAATTTGTATTTCAAATCACATGATATATCATCAGATGCTTCATGTGATAAAAATGAGCTGAGAGAAGATATTGAAATAATTTTATTACAGTGGTTTTTGTGCCTTTTTTAAGCTTAATATTACAAATTCAAATCATTTGTAATTGTTTTGTATGGTATATGAGATGGTCAGTAATGTGGAACACACAATGGTTCAACTGCTTGGAGACACTAAAAATTACTCAATTGTAGGAGATTTTGATACTTAGGTGATCCTGAAACATACACTATAAACAATTCTTCACTGTAAGTTCTAAAAAGCATTGACACATTACAGGTACAAACTAAGAACTGAAAGACCTAATTCTACCTAACTTTTCAGCAATCTACAGTTAAATAATACATATAAAAATCTAACCTTTCCACAACTTTTGAGGTTAAACCATGAAATTTTAAGTAATCTAAATTTTCCTGGTTATAAGGCCTAATATAATGTTTATTTGATGTTGCCAACAATTAATCATGATTAAAAAATTTGGAGATGTAAAAAAATTATTAATTACATTTACTTTTGCTAAAAACATTTAGTACAAAATGGCTTGAAACAAAGTGAAAAAGCTGACAAACAACTTCAGAAAAAAAATGTTTTATTTAACCCAAGGGTTTGGGGAACTTTTTTTGAGGGTCTTTGAGCATCATAGATTACAAATCAGAATTTTAAATGACAATAACTGAAAATAATACTAGACTACACAATATAACAGTTCTCATGGAAACATCTCACATATGTTGTTTAACAAAATAAATTTGCTAATCAAAGTAATAAATTACTGTAAATGTTGTAAAATACAAAAACAGCTATTTTTTTTACATTGCAGAAAATCTATGGATGTATTGCTCAGAATCTCAGCTTTCTATTAGCTACAGACAATAATATGTAAACCATGTTGTTGCCAGGCAACAAACCAAAAGATTCAGAGAACAGTGGGTATGGTTTTCTTATGAAATTAAACATTTTTCAGCCCAACAATGAGATAATTGTTTTAGACCTGATAGTTTTGCATCTATTAAATATTGTTTGTAATTGTAACTGACTCGAGTGAAAAACTTTTAAAAGTTATAAAACTGATAAAATGTACAGCTAGACCATGCCACGTGATCATGTTTTTAATATAAACATTTTAATTCTAAACTCTATTACAAAAATAGTACTCAGTATAAATTAAAAGATGCTGAATGGAAAAACATATATCTACGAAGTATATATTACAATTACCACAACTACACATACATACATTTTAACAATAGCATATTTCAAGAATTTCTATGTTTTAAATGTTTTACCTTATGTGACTACACTGAGCAAAACTTAACATTATGCATTAAAAATAGCAATATTTATCTCACCCGTTTGAATTCCCCCATATTTGTTGTGCAGATGGGGCTCCCATAAATTGCCAAATGATCTATTCTAGTCCTTTCTGTTCCTTCTTGATTATCCTTCACAAAAATCTGAATAAGAACAATGTACTTTTAATGTATAAAATAAATAATGCATATATAACACTGTTTAGTAATCTATATTTGTTCAAAACATCAATTTTTTGACTAAGTCACATTTAAATGTGCCTACATTAGAAAACATTGTTTTTACTGTATAATTCTTTGTTAATCCAAACATCTACTTTTTGAGCTGTGACACACTTAAATGCATTTACATTATAAAACATTGTTTTTACTGTATAGTTCTTTGTTCATCCAAACATCCATTTTTTGAGCTAAGTAGCAGTTAAATGTGCCTACATTAGAAATCAATGTTTTTACTGTACAATTCTTTGTTCATCCAAACATCAATTTCCTTGAACTAAGACATACTTAAATGTGTTTACATCATAAAACATTGTTTTTACTGGACAATTCTTTGTTCATCTAAGCATTCATTTCTTTGAGCTAAGTCACAGTTAAATGTGCCTTCATTGGTTTCACTGTAAAATTTTTTGTTCATCTAAAGTTATAATTTTCCTACACAAAAAATGTATTTCTGATAGATACTTACCTTCACTAGCCTTGACACTTCCACCTATCCCCACGTGTTTAATGTGATGCAGCTGGTCTGTAGCATGTAACAACCCTCAACCAACTGGAGCGTGACACACTTTCCTGGCACAGCTGTCTCCCTCTGGATTACATAGTCTAATCTCACTTCGAGATTAGATACCAAGAGCAAAACACCAGAAGTGGGGAGGAAGGGTGGGAAGTATGAGAAGAGGTAAGTATCTATCAGAAATACATTTTCTGTGTAGGAAAATTATAAATTTCAATACAATACCTTAACTTCCCTTACATAATAGCTATAATCCCACACTGAGCTGGTGGAGGGACCAGTGTAAAAATACTTAGATGAATCATCTTCAGAATGCATTTCAAGGGAATCCATGGAGTGTGACATCTCTGTAAAGAGGAAACACACTCATGAGAGATTGCACCACATCTGAACCAGAGAGATCGACTCCATCCAAAACCAAGAAAGGATCATATTGCCCATAGTAGGAAGGAGATACTCTAACATTCATCTCAGACTCAGGAACCAGAAAGTAAGGAGCACATCTGTTCCGAGAACCCAAACCCTCACATGTGCACTGGGAATGTATCATCCAGTTCACAGTAGGAAGAGGGTTCCAGCCCATTCACATGCGAGAACTTCTGTTGGCTGGTCCAGCTTTAATCTAACACCATACCACACAAGAACCAACATCATGGTGGTGGTAGGATGAGGGATTCCAGCCAGAGGAGTGAACTTCATTATGATGGATCATATCCAGCCCATGACCAGGCAGGTATTCCACTTCCAGTCCAGAGTAGGAGGAGGGTTCAATATCATCTACACAGGCAGAACATCACTGCCTTACTCTTAAATGAGTGGTACTAAGCACACTCAGGAGGAAGCCTCCATGGTCCTCCACCCCAGTGGCTTGGGCTGGTAAGTAGCAAGAACTCTTGTAATCCACTGGAGGAAGGGGAGAGAATGCAATGCAATGGGTGACAGCAAAACTCTTTTTTTTTCAAAAGCAAGCCATTCCTGATTTATTCAATCGAAACAGTAGCGGGGATGGACAGAAATCCCCTTTTGCTTTACTCATGCTAGTCTATGAGTGTATGGTCTGAAACTGACATGTTTATAATGCAAAACACTGCAAGGAAGTACCTACAAGCAGTCTTGCAGAACACACCATCTCAGTGGTGAGTGTTAATGACCTAATTGGTGATACAGTGCAGATTTAAGAATTAATATACCTGAACAGGCAACACTCTCCACAGAGTGGGAGCCAACAATAAAAAAGACCCTGTAATAGAAATATTGATAAGTGAGGTAAACTTACCCACTTATAGTTGCACCATAGCATGTAAGACTGCAACAGGAGGCAGAACAAATTAGGTTGAGTAGGAGATTGCCAAAATGATGTAGATAATGTGATATTAAAGTGTGAGGAGTGGTCTACATGCTGGCCTGGAAGATCTTTCACAAAGGACAACAAAAATGAGCAGCCAGGGACAGGCTGAGATGATGGATCTTGTAAGAGGAAACCTGGAAAAGGTGATGGTCAAGTAAGGATAAGGAAAAATAAGCCAAACTAATAAGTTGTTGATTCCAACCTGTAAGAGATCAGGGAAATGTCTCTGGATATGGAAGGATTTCAGTGGATAATGAGTCATCAACGGGAACCAAGGAAGGAAGTTGTGCTCGCCACATAGCATATAAAGCTCAGACTGAACACAGCAGTCATTCTGGATCAGAATGGAAATACAAATGAGAAGTGGAGGGTAGGAAAGTAAGGGTGAAAGCAAAATTATCCTTATGAGCCACCAAGGTCTCAGGAAGAAAGGCCCTAATAGGGTAAAGGATGACACACGTGTTATGGTAGAGGATGAGTGAGATATTGATGGCAAACATATCTGATCAACAAGACCCACAGGCTAAAATAATAAGGAAATGGGTTTCAAGGAAAGGTGGTACAGGGAACAATCTGCAAAATGCTCAGGGCATGTAGGTCTACATTCAGATTCTAATCCAGTAGAGGAATGAGTTGGGGAGAGCAGAGGATACGAAAAAAATGAAAGAAAAGAGAGATTATGGGAGAGGAAAAAATATAGTGGAACATAAAAATACTGAAGGTAGAAGACAAACAGATGAAGGATAGTGGGGCAAGAAGGAATGGGGCCATGACGAAGTGACCAATGGCCATCCATACACTATTTTCACTGATACACAGGTAACGAGGAATGATGGACCACATGGAAAATAAGGGAGGTCACTCATTTGAAAAAAACAGTACTTGCAAGAACCTGGACAAAAGCCACACATGAAGTCGGAGTGTGGGAATGGATGAATGAAACACAGATTCAGGTGGTTGATGAAGGAGAGATGGGGAAGGAGGAAGAAATAACAGTGGTGATAACTGTAGAGGCTGTAGTAATGGGAACTAAGTATAAGCAGGCCAGAATGGTGCTACTAGAATGACTCAACACAGAGTGGTTTGAATGACACGTAAGACTCTGGGAGGTAGACGATTGGGAGGATAGGCATAAATGTACCAGTCCTTCTAATCCTGGATGAAAGCATCTACTGTCAATGCTAAAGGATGATCAAAAGAGAGAGAGTTTAGTGTTCTGATGAATGGCAAAGGTATCCAACTGGGGTAAACTGAACCAAGAGCATAGCCACTGAAAGACCTGTGGATCAAGGAACTACTCTATGAGAAAAATCCTGTTGGGATAAGATAACCAATTCGTGAAAAGATTGAAAGCACCCAAGATATGACAAGCCTGCAGGTGAAAATGCTGTCTGTGAGCCCAGAACAGAAGATTCAATGCTTGAAAACAAAAGGGACTGAGAATGGGTGTCCCCTTGCTGGGTGATGTAAGAGTTGTTGGAATGGATCATGACTGACTTGCTCTTCTGAAGAGGAAGGAAAATATCCAGAGCTCAGAAACAGCCACAAGTTCCAAGAGATTGATAAGAAACTTGGACTTGATTGGCAACCAACAACCCAAGATCCCTCAACAGTCCAAATACATTCCCCAGCACATGAAAGAGGCATTTGTAAAAAGGTCTAAATTCGGTCTGGGAGGTGGAAGAGGAACTCCAGTTGTGGTATTGTCTCTTTTTAACCACCAAGCAAAATCATTTAGGAGGAAGGTTGATAGGGGAATCCAGAGGATCCTTGGCAAGATCCTACTAGTAGTGTAATGTCCACTGAAGAGCCCTCGTGTGGGCCCAACCCAATGGATTAAGGACTTCCAAGAATGCCAATGTCCCCAAACATGATAGAACCTCCCACCGAGGTACAGTAAGAGAGGATTATGCTCTCTGAACTGCTAGCTCAATAGACCATAGTTGAACCAGAGAAGGATGGGAATGACTGAGGTAGTAGTTGAAAAGGACCTTGAGATGAAAAAGATATCATGTCAGAGTCAGGATGGACTTCTCTAACTTGATCAGCCAAACAACCTGTGCTGCTTCTCTGAAGAGAAACTGAATGTGGCAATAAGAAACTGCTAACGATGGGGCTAGAAGAAGTCAGTTGTTCATGTAATGATGGACAATGATGAAAGTGGAGCCATTTGGCAAAACCCTTGACCACCCAACAAAAAATATAAGGGGCTGAGGCCAACCTGATCCTCATGAACAAACTGAAGGAACCAACGGGATGCAGGGGATATGGAGGTACATAAGACACATCAACCTTTGTCATCCACACACCTGGAGTAAACATCCCCCTGAGAGATAGGAACGACTCCACAGTAAATAGAGGAAGGTCTATGTAGCAGTTTATACAGTCCTCTAGCTTTTTGGGGACAACAAACATCCAGGAATACAACCCTCAAAGGGATTGAGCCACAGGTTCTATAGCACTTTTGGAAAGAAGGTCCTGAACCACCTTGGAAAGTCACTGGTTGGATATGGAATCTCAAGGAAGAGGGAAAGGAAATGGAAAAGGAGATAAGCGAAGAGGTGTGTGGAAAAGAAAAGAGAGTCCTTCTGACAAGACTTGTAGAACTGTAGTAAATGTTCTCCAAAGGTGGACATAATTGTATAGCCAGACCCAAACAAGTCTTTACCAACCAGACAATCACCAATACCATTGGTTGCAGATGGGTAGGCAGCAAATACTATGATGATTTGCCTCTGAAACCCAAGCAAAAAAGAACACAAAATACTATACAATTCTTTGTTCATCTAAACATCCATTTTAATTTTAAAAGGTATCTTCAAAGACTAAAAACCATTTCATATGAAACATATTTGGTGTTTATTCAGTACTTTTACTTATATAACTACTATATGCTCTGTGTTAAAAGCACAGATGTCAGTTTATTTTGGATAAAAATTGAACACTATAACTAAATTTCCAAAGTGGGTAACTTACTTGAAGGTTCTGCACATGTTGAAACTTGACATATCTTAAAGGAATGATGCTTCCATCATCTAGGTCTTTGGGTTGAATCCTAAGAGTGAATATCTAATTTTAAAATGTTAAACAAAAAATTAACTTGCCCAAATATACTTTTTGAGACACTACAGTTCCAGTTAAAAGAATGTTGCAGAGAACACAACAGAAAAAACATAAATCTGTCATGAACTGCATGTGAACTCATGAAGATTTTAATATTTTTTCTCATTACCATCAAATGTACTACATGATCAACACTAAGAAGATTTCACAAAGTTAAAACATATAAAATAAATGGCAAATTAAATAGTAGTGAATAACTACTGCACCAACTCTAGGTTGTACAATTTGTATTATTACCAGGGGTAATCACTACAGTTAACAACTACTACTGCACCAACTCTAGGCTGTACGATTTGTATTGTTACCAGAAGTAATGTTAACTGTAGTGAATTACTGCTGCACCAACTCTAGGTTATACAATTTGTATTGTTACCAGGAGTAATGTTAACTGTAGTGAACTACTGCTGCACCAACTCTAGGTTGTACGATTTGTATTGTTACCAGAAGTAATGTTAACTGTAGTGAACAACTACTGCACCAACTCTAGGTTGTACGATTTATTACTTCTGGTAACAATACCACTACAGTTAACAACTACTGCTGCACCAACTCTAGGTTGTACAATTTGTATCATTACCAGGAGTAATGTTAACTGTAGTGAACTACTGCTGCAACAACTCCAGGTTGTACTGCTAGAATTGTTACCATAAATAATGTTAAGTGCAGTGAACTGACATTTATGGTGTTAAGTAATTTTTTTTATAAGAGTAAAAAGTAACTGCTTGCCAGTTGCCATTCTGGATTTATTCACGGTCTTCTTTAATCTAGTATTAAAATTTACAGATCATCATTATTTCCAATTAGAGATTATCTTACTCTATTGCTTGAACTGGTTCCATGTTATCTGCTTGGTCAAAGTCTAATGTACGAGGTTGATTGATGAAAAGTTTTATATTCTTTGGTCCACTATCTGAAATACAAAACACATTAATAAAGGAGTAAAGTTCTGGGAAAGGACTCGAAGACTCTCATCCTCAATATTTTAATTTGAAAAAAAGCCTAAAAATATCTGATTTACAAGAAATGCACAATATCATACATTCACTGGCCAAAATATCAGAAATCCCAGCCCAATAACATGTTGGGCCACTATGTGCTTTATTACAAATTGGATACAATGTGGTACTTACTCCACTTATGTATAGAAGGTATCTACTTCATCTTCAACCATTCCTTAATCAATATCATCGTCAATCCAGCTAAAGTTTATGATAAAGACTGTCTCCTGATCTCTTTTTCTAAAACATCCCATACATTCTCGATGGATCAGTTGTCATGGAAGATTTTGGAAGTAGGTATCATACTCAGTGAACTAACCATAAATGATTTTAGCTATGCTGCTTTTGACATTCTCATCTGTAAGTAACCTTGTCTGTTAGGGTAAAAGTAGAGGATCGTAAGTACACCTAGTTTGGTAGGATGGTCAAATATTCATGAAAAGAGAAACGGCCATTCACAGTAACCATAAAACGTAGCCCATGCCAAGGAAATGATTCCTGAAACCTTACTCCCCACCCCCAGAACTTTGTACACTATACCAAGAAGGAAGAGCCAATCTTTTAATTGAGTGACACAATACCCTCAATTATCATTACTGCAAAAAGTGTGATTCATCTGAACACATAACACAACTTCATTAGAATTGAAACCACTATAACCTAACAAGTCATGCTTATTGATACTTTCCTGTAAAAATACCAGTTAGAACAATCATAGTTCAGCTATACTGCACTGGCAGATACATACACAGGTGCTACTGCACCTGAGATTGCTGGCTGAAAATTGTGCAGCCAATCCCAATATAGATAAGCAAATAAAGCTTAGGACATTACAGCTGTATTTCACTGATGCATGCTTCTTTAGAGCATCAGAGATATTGCTAGCCCAAAGATAGACCAAATGCTGAAGGATGGAAGCATTCAATGTGCATGGTCATTACCAGTAGTGCTTGCTAGAAAAAAAAAAGAAAGACATTGAGGCTCTGTGTGGACATTAAGGGGGAGGTGAATGCAGTAATATTTTAATTTCTGCTTCCATGCACAGTTGAGTATCTTGAAGCAGGAACCAGATGGTTCACTAGGTGTATGGATACAGCCATGTTGCACAAAATGATAAGAATAGAGCCAAGACTGCCTTCACAACTCGTATGACTTTCCCATCATTCGACCTTTATACTGTGCCAGCTAATTTTTGAGCAGCTGATCGAATCTGTATTATGCAATTTGAAGTGGTCATGGAGTCTAATTTATGTCATTTATATTCTGGTGTTTGGTGGCATGTTTAAAACTGCAATTGAAAATCTAAGTATAGAATTTCTACATTTGTAAGAAGCAGGTCTCAAACTAAAGGCAAAGAAATGTTCTCTTATGTGCACGTGTAGAGTTTCTTGAAAATACAGTGAGTAAGGAAGAAATGTCTATTAATCCTGCTAAAATACAAGAAGTGTAGACCCAAACCTAGAAACATGAAGGAAGTTCAATGCTTTCTTAGTTTTGGTCACACTATAGTTTTTTTTGGCCAATATTTCAACAACAGTACTGCTCTCAGCATTAACTAAGTGGAATCCCATTTCAGACGGACTGAAGACCACGTAACAAATTTCAGTCACTAAAATGTGCCTCAGTTGATGCGCTGATTATCTGAGAAGAGACCTTCTATTCATTATAGATATGTATGGCAACGACAGTGAAGTAATAGAAGTGCTGCATAAGTACAGATCAGTCAAACATTATTATTGCATGGAGAAGAAACAACCTCATTAACCATTTTTACCACTATTTGTATGGCAGAGAATTAACCATTCGAGTAGATCATGCATTGTTCAAAATGGTTGATAAACTTTGAGAAGGTATGACCACAAATTGAGTCACAATACTGCAGGAGAACAATTTCCCTTTACAACACTGACTGGGCCAATGGCATGAAAATTCAGGGGAGTTTTCATGCCAGCAGGTGAGAGCCTGTCCATTTGTAGATTGTGTGGATCTCAGACATAAGAACTCAAGTAAGTGACACTGGCTTAACATGTTTTAATAATTACAACTGTGGAAGAAAACCTACAAGTATAAAAATGAGAATTTCAAACCATGAAAAGTAAAACAGGAAGATATAGTGATTACAGAATTCAACAAGGGAAACAGTGTTCATATTTTACATAAAACTGATTACATTAATAAAATTATAGAACGTTTCTTTTATGTGACAGAACTAACTTTGTAAAATTAGATACAGATCTAACTAAATATAAATTACAAAAATACTTGATAAACTTTTGAATCATTAATTAAAAATAATTATACTGTCAGACAGTTTTCAAGATACAAAAACTTAATCTGAATAATGCAGTACACTGTGCTAGTTTTTCACACTACTCTATACTAATATAGCATTAGATGAGACAACAAATGTATGTACAGAAACTTTTGCATCAAAACAACAATGATAAAATGAGATTTCTTTAGCTTGTGCTTCAAAACTCGTGAATTTTGCCACCAAAGAAACTAATTTTCAATTATTTTTTATGACCAAGTAGATGGTGTTGCTATGGCATTGAGATTAACCCCGTTATCCACAAAGTTATGAATCTTATTTTCAATGATTTATATGACCAAGTAGATGGTGTTGCTATGGCATTGAGATTAACCCCGTTATCCACAAAGTTATGAATCTTATTTTCAATGATTTATATGACCAAGTAGATGGTGTTGCTATGGCATTTAGATTAACCCCGTTATCCACAAAGTTATGAATCTTATTTTCAATGATTTATATGACCAAGTAGATGGTGTTGCTATGGCATTTAGATTAACCCCATTATCCACACAGTTATGAATCTTATTTTCAATGATTTATATGACCAAGTAGATGGTGTTGCTATGACATTTCGATTAACCCCGTTATCCACAAAGTTATGAAACTTATTTTCAATGATTTATATGACCAAGTAGATGGTGTTGCTATGGCATTTAGATTAGCCCCGTTATCCATCAAGTTATGAATCTTATTTTCAATGATTTATATGACCAAGTAGATGGTGTTGCTATAACATTTAGATTAGCCCCGTTACCCACCAAGTTATGAATCTTATTTTCAATGATTTATATGACCAAATAGATGGTGTTGCTATGGCATTTAGATTAGCCCCATTATCCACAAAGTTATGAATCTTATTTTCAATGACTTATATGACAAAGTAGATGATGTTTAAACCAATGTATTATATATATGTGGGTGATACTTTAATTATCTTTACAGAAGCTCAATATGTATAGTTTTTTGAGATATTTTAACAGTAGCAATCCTGATATTAAGTTGACCATAGAACATCAATAAAACCACCAACATATTGGTATATTACCATGGAAAACTTTCATTCATGATTTTATTAGTGAAACATTTATTCTCTTTAGGAGTTAAAAATAATCCTGTATAGGAAAAAAATAGTAATATATATTTAACAAAAATCACACATGCAAGATCAAAGAAGAAAAAGTATGCATACGGCAAAACACTGAGGTTGAGTACATTATATTAACATGATTTTGGAGCTTCAACACATCTTTAGAGTCCATGTTGCTATGTTTAGTTAGCTAATGGCCATGTAAAACTGTCTTTGGTTTGAATAATTTTAACTCTTGCAAACTTACACACCATCTTGATAAAACTATCCAAACATGTAACCAAAGGCAGGTCCTACTGATACAACATAGTACCACCTTTGATCTGAATAACTAACTTTTCTTAAAGGCATGCTCTCTACTACATATTTATACAAGTTTGGTGTCATTTTTCTCCAGTACTGTTTAAACTGTGTCTTTATTAGCTATACTTCCAACACTTTGCAATGACTGGACTCTTCTTGTAACCACATAAAAGAGGGGTATTGGTCAAAATTTGTAACTTTATCTAGTCTAATAGCATCTTGACAGTGCAAAGTGAGGATTGTAGTAAAATTCATCTTTTGAATAAGATATTTGTGCTTTAAGAAGCATATGTTTATTTTGGTCTATATAATAGTTATTAAGATTTTTATACCTATTCCCACAAAATATGAACAGCATAACACAACTTTCAAGTTTTGGTTTTCAGTATATTATTCAATGTATCTATAAAAATACTAGCCTGCCTAATAACTTTAGAGAAACTCCAAGCAATCTGTTCATGTTTCTATTAGAAATTTATATGCTGTAACAAAATAAAATTCTCTGGCTTCTTTTTCCTGTTTGAAAATAAAATGGTAGTTGTTTCTACTTGTAAAAGTTTTTAATTTTACATTATTTAATGAAAAATTTTTTAATGCTAAATTATTTAAAGTAAAATATTTTAATGTTAACTGCAGTTTACTTTCTAAATTAAATTCATTACAAACTTTCTCTTGAGGTTCTTCAGGTTCTACAAATACATTATACAACAGTTAAGTACATGGTAGAATGGAATAATAGTTATAAGAGTATCTTTTATACATATTGCTAAAACACTGTTAAACACTTCTATATTGTTTAAAATGTACATTATTCTAACAACATTCATGATCAATAATGGAAGGCAGTTGTATAGATACACACATGTATATACATATTACAATCAAATGTGAAAAGTAAATTTCTTACCATAGCATAGAATAAAGCCCCTTAGAGTTTGCTCACGAACATTGGCATTTCAATTAATTAAATTCAGATTGTTTACTCAAAGATAAAATTTATTTTTTTATTTTTAATGCTCAAAAGCTGTCTCCTTTTGCTAAACCTTTTATGTTTAATAATAGATCATCTGTTTTATATCTCTCTCTCTCTTATAAGTGTATAAGCATGTGTGTATGTATATACTCTGCCAAATACTTTAACTGTAATATATGTAAGATAAAATGTCAGAAGAAATATTGAATTATAATACACATTCTGGAAACAAGGATCATGCCGATAATGTAAAGTCTCTAAATAAACCAAATCAATGACTGATATATACAAACTAGTCTACAGGTATTTAATCGGTTTTTAGATTTATTTTTATCATTTGAACACTAATATGAATATTTCTTAATATATTGAGCTATAAAATAACCACTCTACAGTGTCTTTACAAAAAAATTTATATTTAAAGTATATTTTTGAAAATGTTACTCTTTAAGGATTACCTTTTGGTGCCTGAATCTTCAAAGAATGCAGTTTTACAGTCTGGTTGAATCCAAAACTCATTATAAGCTAGAAAACCAGTGCAGAAATGATACTTCAAATTGCAGTTATTTTAGTAAGAATCACCAAGTTAATTTTTTTCATTAAAATACATTTTAAATATTCAAAATGTCCAAAATACTCATAATCCTTAATAAATTATTTATTACAAGTAAAATTTATTACCCCTACCCCACCCAGCATGAAATATGTGTAGTAGTGAGTCACAAACATTCATCAGATAAACATTCAACTGTTCACCATAAATTATTCCCAACTAGTGAGTCACAAACATTCATCAGATAAATATTCAACTGTTCACCATATATTATTCCCAACTAGTGAGTCACAAACATTCATCAGATAAATATTCAACTGTTCACCATAAATTATTCCCAACTAGTGAGTCAAAAACATTCATCAGATAAATATTCAACTGTTCACCATAAATTATTCCCAAGTAGTAAAAGCACAAACATTCATCAGATAAATATTTAACTGTTCACCATAAATTATTCCCAAGTAGTGAGTCATAAACATTCATCAGATAAATGTTTAACTGTTCACCATAAATTATCCCAAAGCAGCAAGTTGATTAACCCTTTCCATATGGTTACCCATTTCTGCATATCATGCTACAACCTTTTTTACAGAGTTACATTCAAAATTTAATTGAACTACTATGTTATCAATGTACAAGAATAAACTTGAATCAAAAAGTATTTAATAAATCAAATGTTAATATTATATAAATTCTAAGTTCTTAATTTTATAAGTAAGTATTCAAAAAATCCTCAATTTCCCCTAGTATGAGAATTGTGACATTTGCTCTCTAGGTATCCTCTCTTCTCTAACTTATTTACCACCCCTCCCAGAATTATGAAATTAATATAAATTACTCATTAATAGTTATTACTCAGGCAGAGTATAATCTTTATAGTTTTCAATCTTATTTGTTTATGGAGCTATTAACTAGAAAATCAGACCCCTCTTGCCATGGCCACCTGTCACAACCTCTCTTTTACAAATTGCCAATAGTTTTCTGTGACATTTTATACTACATTATTTATAACCAATAGAAAGTCAAAGTTTTATCTATCAATTTATGTATTAAATTATGTTGTTTTCTGTACAGAGAATTGTTTATTTGACTTCCACTTCAAACTTTATTCCCATGGGAAAAACATTGAAGAACTTCGCCAAATTTTTAACAGTTCTTATCAAATAAAAAAGTATGATAGTTATAGAACATTGTTTGTTTTTTACATGTTATTTTTCTACCTTCTTAAGTGGAATATTTAATTAAATGAAAAACTTAGTGCAGTAATACCATTAGTATAACAAATTAGGATTAAGGTTCTTCAACAGCAGCAAAAAAGACCCAGGTATGTACCACGTTCCTTGTTTTTCATTAGTTAGACACAATTCAAATGTCAAAAAAAAACAATAAAATTAAGTATAAAGAGATGTGTATTGTTATGAACTTTAAGATACTTAGAATAAATAATTGTGGTTTCATGTTACAATTTACAGTCACTCCTGAAAGCAAAAAAAAAGTAATTTAAATTTCCTAATTTTTTATGATGGTTACAAGGTTGGTAAAATTGACCATCCCTGTATAGAGTTAGGAAAAATAAAATATAAAGTTTTCCTGAAAACAAATTTTTTGTATTTCTTTAAGAGGTTTTAGAGATTATGCAAATCAAATTTGACAACTTTCAGATGAAGGAAAGTACTTTTAATCTTAACATTTAATCTTGTACTTGGTGCAGTCAACACTTTGAGTGAGTTTAGCTCTTTACATTCACACAAATTTTTAGTAAAAATACTTAATTAGAAAACAAATTTTGTGTGTGCAAAAGACTTGTAATGTTTACTGATAGTCCACAACATTTTGTGAAAGTGTGTATACATTATTAAAAGTTATAGTATGCCTAATCTCATGCTTACTTTGGTGGTTACAAATTATTATAGCCCATATGGAAAGAAACAAGATGTGTTAAGATAACATTTGGACTGAAACTATCACCTGAAAAATACTGTTCCCTTGTATAGTGCACACTTCAAAATTGAGCCCAAAACATTTTGGAAAAAAAGTTTTCACTATATGTGGGTATCTGCAGTAATTCACAAATAAAAATGTAAAACTAAGTCTACACTTATATTTCTGCACAATTCTCAGGAGTCTTGTAAAAAATGCATCAATCTGTTTTTTTATTAGAATTTTGCTTCCTTACCGTAAAGAGATGACTGCTGAAGAGCTGCATCAGCACAAGATGCCATTTATAAAAGATACCCCCAAAACCTATATCACAAAGAAAAGATGCAAAAAAAAAGTCCTCAAGAAGAGACTGAGGGTGGTAAAAGTCTGAAAGTAATGCTGATAGGGTCATAACAGAAAGTCTCAAAATAGAGGTGAAGTTGTGATGATCCTTCTGCATAAAAGATGTAGAAGACAGAGATTTTGTTATTATTAGTTAGAAAGAAAACAGTGATGATGCATAGATTTAATGATGTCCTTGATGAAACCTGTATGGTATTTAGTTAGAAAGAAAGCAGCGATGGTGCATAGATCTTCTATGCACCATCACTGTTTCTTTCTAACTAAATAACATACAGGTTTCAACAAGGACATCATTAGTTCTATGCACCATCACTGTTTTCTTTCTAACTGAATAACATACAGGTTTCATCAAGGACATCATTTTTAATGATGTCCTTGTTGAAACCTGTATGTTATTAGTTAGAAAGAAAACAGTGATCGTGCATAGACTTAATGATGTCCTTGATGAAACCTGTATGTTATTTAGTTAGAAAGAAAGCAGTGATGGTGCATAGATCTAATGATGTCTTTGATGAAACCTATATGTTATTAGTTAGAAAGAAAATAGTGATGATGCATAGATCTAATGATGTCCTTGATGAAACCTGTATGTCGGATTAAAGAAAGGGAACAAACAATGAAAAATGTGTCACAAAAGGCAGTTAACAGAAAATCAAATTGAAGATAATTCAAGTGAAAGTTCTAATCAATAAGTTTGAACTTTAATATTATTTTTTGATATAATCAGGAAACTAAGGGAAAGAAAGACTACATAATAAATAGTACAAAAGGTTAAAACAATAAGTGCAAAAATTTCCAGTAAGTTTTATTAAAAAAATATGTCAGAAGACAAGTACCAATAAAAGAATAAGCCTATGTTCAATTGCTAGTGTTCATGGGGATTACTGCACATGAAGAATGTGTTTCTCTCCTAGTGGTGGTGGACAATAGGTTAATGATGATTACATCATAGGTTAGCTCAATACATGTGTATAGGCAGGAACTTTGTTCAAGGCACGTGCAGGAATTTATACAGTAGGGCATGGGAGGTAATAGCTCTTTTTGGTGCAGAGAGATGAGTGGAATTTCCAAAACTAAATATTAGATATTTAGTAAATTTGTCCTAAGTTTGATGGAATTTGGTTAAGTATTCCCACTGTAAGAAAAAAGAAATCAGGGGATATCAATGATACCCTAATGTTCTGGAAGGGGTTAAAAAAAATTAATTCCAACAATGTTCTATAACATCTGTCATATTGATAAGTGAAACTAATTACCAACAATGTTTTCTAACATCGTCACACTGGTAAGTGAAATTGACAACTATACAATGGTTTCTCCCAAGTACACCATAAAGGTGATGCATAAATTACATATCTGCTACTAAGAGTTAACCAAAATGATGACATCACAATAAAAGCACTAACAACTTTTGTTTCTATCAAGTTACCCAACATGATATTACAAAAGAAGTAACAATAATATACCTGTTTCTATAAGATAAATAAATATGACAATATCATGATTAAATCACTTGAAACAGCAACTAAACAGGGCAAAAAATAATGTAGACAAGTGTTAGAAAATATAGCAGAATGCTACAGACTAACAACAGTACAGTGAATCTACCAGAAGACAGTTGTTATAAAAAACAGAACACTACAGAGGCTAGCAACAGTACAGTGAATCTACCAGTAGACAATTGTTATAACAAAAAGAACACTACATATTAGCAAGAGTACAATGAATCTATCAGTAGACAATTGTTACAACAAACAGAACACTACAGGCTAGCAACAGTACAGTGAATCTACCAGTAGACAATTGTTAGAACAGGCAGAACACTACAGAGGCTAGCAACAGTACAGTGAATCTATCAGTAGACAATTGTTAGAACAGGCAGAACACTACAGAGGCTAGCAACAGTACAGTGAATCTATCAGTAGACAATTGTTACAACAAACAGAACAATACAGGCTAGCAACAGTACAGTGAATTTACCTGTAAACAATTGTTAGAACAGACAGAACACTACATATTAGCAAGAGTACAATGAATCTATCAGTAGACAATTGTTACAACAAACAGAACACTACAGACTAGCAACAGTACAGTGAATGTACCAGTAAACAATTGTTAGAACAGACAGAACACTACATATTAGCAAGAGTACAATGAATCTATCAGTAGACAATTGTTACAACAAACAGAACACTACAGACTAGCAACAGTACAGTGAATGTACCAGTAAACAATTGTTAGAACAAAAAACACTACAAAGGCTAGCAGCACTTCTTTAACAGCTTCCATCTGTAAATCATATTAAACACAAAGAATCTGATAATCAAATTATATCAAAACTAGTTTCTTGATTACATTTTATACCTGCTCATCAACATCTGACTCAAGAAATCCATCTCCTGATGAAAGACATTCAGTGAGGGTGTTTTCATCCGATTCATTTAGACATTCACATAATGATTTAGTGATGAATGAAGATAAGTCAACCTAAGCATGAAAAAAAGATTGTCATTGAGTTTTCCAACATGCATACATATTCAATATACAAAGTAATTGAAAACATATTGCCATGAAGAAATGTTAACATTTTTCTTACACTGAAAATGTATTTCTTATAGGTACTAATCCCCTCTTATGCAACATTATCTTAATCTTCTTTCAGCTCTCTAAGCATTGCAAAAAATTTTCATGCTCAGCACACCAGTCTATGTATCCCATCAATTTTGTCATTTTTGAACATGTATCATGTGACTACTCTCCACCAATAGCATTGTGCCACCTATATAGGTGCAGCTAGCTCATTCTGTTACTCCTGCTCAATTCTCACTATAGAGAATTGGCAGGCTCTAAATAAAGAACATCAGCAGTGGGTGGGAAGCTTGTGACAGGAGGTAAGTAGCCATCATAAATAAATTTTCAGTGTAAGAATAATGTTAACTTCTGATACAGTCTTACCTCCTCTCATGCAAAGCTAGAATCCCCCATTGCAAAAGTGAAGGTGCCAGTTAAGGTTCACAACATTGAAACCAAGCAAAAAGTGACTGCCCAGAATGAACGAGTGTGCTCCGAGATGAAAACAAAGCACACTCGTGGAGTACCACACTACTTCTGGGACAGATACGTTTTCACTCTTGAAGTAGGAAATGATTCTGGTACGGGTGGAAAAAAGGATGTGCACAAGTATAATTATTTGTGAGAGGTACAATCCATACTAAAATATAAACTGAATTAGCTATGTACATATACAACCTCAGCCGGACAGATGAGGTTTGGTAACTCGTCCTTGGCATTAGGAGGTAGAGGATAACAAAAAAGAAAGAGAGAAACAAATATATTGTAACATAATTAGGCCACCCTTGATCCCCCACTAACTCAGCCTCTGAGCCAACAGGAGAAAAAACATCAGACCTCATGTAAGACTCCACTTCTCTGCATATGAGGAACTGAACATCCTCCATGGAAAGGGGCCCTCTATCCAACACTTAGGTAATGCTAAACTACAGGGGTAGCAGAGTAGGATCATTAAGTGACTCTATATCAGAATTTATATCTGATAATGTCTCAGAAATTGTTTGTTTTTTTTGTAAAAGAAAGAAAACAGACAATAAACTCGAGACCCAAGAACAGTGGTCAAAAACAAACAAAAATCATTCAAAGCATAATTAACAGCTATACAACACTGAAGAGAAACCCACAGCAAGCATGTAAACCCATCATCGTAACAGTCTGCCATTAAGAATAGTGAACAGGATTTAATAACAGGGAGCTTATATACGGATCTGGAATAGGGGCGCATTGATGTAGGTGGAGAGAATCATAAGATTTAATTTGCTTTAAGCAATATAATCAGATATAAAGGCTGGAACAAGCTAAATAAGATTATTACCAATGCTTAGGTGGGAAGAGAAACTTTCGTCAGGATAAAGCTATAGTGTGAGAAGAGGAAAGTGTGTTTCAAAAAAATAATTTCAAACATTTTGATCCTGCTGGGATAACAGAGCAACAAAAAAGTATTTATAATATTAAACCACAAAAAGAAACAACATATATTCATGTTATCTTGCATCCTACAATACATTATTAGTTTGAACTGAAAAATCCTGAGGATCTTATTTTCTGCAGCCTGTAGTTTAACTACCCAGTCTATTTTAATCACAATACTGAAAATCGAAATTAAGTTATTGCAATAAAATACTGAAAAATTACTTGCAACACATCATTGCAAAGTAGAAAAAATACTGTTAAGAAATTCTAACTCACAACTTTAGATGTATATAACTTCAGTTAAGGTCAAACAAACATAGAAAATTAAATATGACTTACGTGACCAGGAACAACACCTTCTAAATCATCTATTTCTGAGCCCACTAGCTCCTTTATTTTGTTCTCTAGAGCTTGTGGATCTGCCCCTTGAATCTGAGCAAGTTTCACTTTACTTCTGAAGAAAATGAAAGTAGGCATAGCAGTGACACCTTGAAATGCTGCTGCATCTGGACACTGGTCAACATCCACTTTCAGGAAGATAGCTAGGGTATACTTGTTGCTAAGTTCTTCAAAAACAGGTGCTATTCTTTGGCATGGAACACACCTTGTTAAAAAAAAGTAACAAATGTTATTAACCCTTTTGAGACGTGTCACAGGTGAAAGGCCATGTCATCTCGTTTGTTGACTCACATTCAAAATTTTATTGAACTGCTATTTCACGAATTTATGTCAATAAGTTTGGTATCAAACCGAAGATTATAATTCAAATTTTAGAATTATCATTACCCAATTTGTTAATTTAAAAGTAAATATTAAAAAAACACAGATAAACATCAATTTTTGTGTGCCATGTGACATGTTGAATGCAGCACAGGTTCAAATTAGATGTTTGTGAAGTCAAAATACAAAGTCTGTAGTTTCATATGAATTAGAAACTCAAATTACAGATACTGACAAGCTAGAACATAAAATAAGAAGGTCTTATATTTTCTATTTGTTAAGATATTGCTCACGTAATAAATCAAACACAGCACCAACCCGCTCACCTCTTTCCATTTCTGGAAATGCTTTCTTATATACACTTATATGACATGAATAACCAAACAGAAGCTCAGAATGACCTCCTAGTGGTTTTCTCAGCCTTTCTAATGTTCCTTCTAACATTTCTTTCTTTTGAATCAAGATTTCAATGAGGTAGGTTGTGTCTTTAGTCTGCTTGAAATTTCAATGTTTTTATAGACCTAAAAACAGCTTAGTTACTAAGCTTGATAAATTATAGAAGAATTTTATGGTATTGATGTAGTAATTTATGATTTTTTAGTTATTCAAAAGTAAATATAAAACCTAAAAAATATTTTGTTTCACATCCTCCACGTGCAAAATTTTTAAAGGCTTAACAACCTACGACAAGCAGCAACCGAGTACAAAGGTCGGAGCTAGAAAATATAATTGTTTGCTTTACTTCTTTATTTACTGTTCTAAGTTTTAAGAAAAATAAACTTAAGAACTTATTTTTAAACAGTAATAACCTATATACATATCTATTGTATAATAATTGAAATGTGACTGTATTTTACAAGATACTAGTCCACTAAAACACAGCCAAGATAGGTCACTTTGTAGAGACTGAAAGGTCAATATAATAAAAATAATA